ATGGAAAGTCTCAATGCCGCCGAAGCTGCTTCCAACTTTGATCATGAGAACTTAGCTTCGTTGGTGGTTGTCAAACGTGACGAGGGCAAACGTAATTTCTTAAACAATGGATATGCACCCCTTGTGACTTACCAAAACGCCAACGAAAATATCGCCAGCACAGAAGCCGCTAAAGTTAACTCTTTAGGGATGGAAAGTCTTAATGCCGCCGAAGCTGCTACCAACTTTGATAATGAGAACGCTCAATCGTTTTTAGTTGTCAAGCGTGATGAGAACAAACGTGCCTTCTTAAATAATGGATATGCACCCCTTGTGACTTACCAAAACGCTAATCAAAACATCGCTACCACCGAAGCCGCTAATGTTAACTCATTAGGAATCGAGGCCTTTAATGCCGCTGAAGCCGCTTCCGCTTTCGATTCCGAGAATGCACAATCACTTCTTGTTGTAAAGAATTAATTCATGGTTAAAAAAGAGAAATTTCCTCTATTCTATCATAAAAAAAATTAATGTTATGGATATTTTTAAGAAAATTATGTAACATAATAATAAAAGTATAATGATAATAATAAATTTTCTGTAATTTTTCTGTTGAAGACAAAATGGCACTTAATTAATTTCTTGCTTAACGCACAAATGGCTATTTCCAAGTATTTAAAGGTCACACATAAAATAATCTGAGGTTAAGAGTTCCAGAAGTTAAAACCTGACTTCAGATTGCATATTATTTATAATATTTTGATAAAGGTACATTTATAATTCGTAAAATACTGTATGTTAGTTTTTATTTTTATTAATTAAATAGCATTTATTCCAAAAATCATAAAAGTTTTATTTGATATATTAATCAAACCAATGTAAATTAATACAGGAAACCCTATTTAAATGTAATCTCTATTATATGCTTTTCTAAATGTATAATATTGTTCAGTTCTATAATAGAACTTAAGAAATAAATATACTTTTATATTTTGCAATTGTTGACTTTTTTTTTTATTCATTTCTATATAAATATTTTTTAAAATATATATAGTATTATATAATTCTAAATAAAAATTTTAATTTGTCAATAATTATATAATAATTGTTTATTTTTATAATATTAACAAATATTTTATAAAAATTTAATTATATATAAAATAACATATTTAAGTTTTCAACATTAATATTATAATCAAAATAGTTTGATCAAGTATCCAAAGTAAAGGTTTTTTAGAAAGATTTAAAGATTAAATAGAATTATCCATTATTCCAAAGTTAATATTAATTAAAAATAATATAAAATATTAATAAAAATATTTTGGTTTCTCTAATATTGCCAAGAAAATCCAAATTTATATTAAAATTTTTATAACTAAAATTTATTTAATAAAATAATCAATATTTTATTAATATAAAAAGAATTCAGACATTATAAATTATAAGTGTTCAAATTAAAATATTTTATTTATTATTATTATTTTTTTTTTTTAAGGTGCTAAGTACGATTGCTATATTGATTTTATTAATAAATAGCATATTACATCATTGAAGCTATAACGGCCTTACCACATCATTAACAGCTAAGGACTCGTACAAGTCAGTACATTATATACTTTATGTAGATTATCCCTTATACATCATCTTATTTCTAATACCCTAGTTTCTAAATCACCTGTAATGATTAACAATTCAAGATATTAGACTGGAACCTATGGGATATAGAAATCCTGCTACCAGTTTAAACTACCTAATCCATTGGTCCATCTTTGTCTGAGAGGAGTCTTGATTAGGGGATTGGTCCAGGTGTCTCTTGTCACTTTATCACTTGGCCCTCAAATCACAACTTGTATCAA